ATCCTGCCCCTCTGCTCAGCCCTGGTGAGGCCTCAAGTGCCATGTCCAGTTCTACAAAGACAATTAGAGGACTGCAGCACAATTAGTGGAGTGAAGCATCTCTCTTACCAAAAAGAAAGGCTGAAAGAGCTGGGCCTGTTAGCCAGTAGAGGGACAACTGAGGGAACCTCACCCATGCATACAAATATCTTAGGGCTGGGTGTCAGGAGGATAGGGCCAGACTCCTCAGTAATGCTCAGTGGCAGAAAAAGGAATTATAGGTTCAATTGAAACACAGGAAACTCCATCTGACTATGAGGAAAACCTTACTATGAGGGTGACAGAGCACTGGAACACGCTGCCCAGAGAGGCTATGAACTCTTCTTCTCCAGGGATATTCAAAACACACCTGAATGAGATCCTGCTGAACTTGCTCAGGTGAACCTGCTTTAGCAGGGAAGGTAGACCAGATGATCTCCAGAGATCCCTTCCAGCTCCAGCCATTCTGTGATTCTGTATGTTATATTTTAGATATCAGCTCTAATGCACCAAATAACACATGTGCATCCTTGTTTGGGTCATGAAACTCCATCTTATGGTGATGGTCTTGATGGGCAGATGGTAAGAGGTATGTATTTGTGCACAGGTAAGGTCAGGTGCTAGGATGTATTAAGCATGGCACTGGTACTGCAGGTACAATTAGTCTCAAGTATGTCTGAAGATGATTTTACAGAAAAGGCAACAGGAAGACAAACAGGATACAAGCTAGGAAAGATAAAGGAATTATTGCTCTGATCATAAACACTGGTTTACTTAAAGTATAGCATCTGGTTTAACCTAAAAGAATCCTAAAAGGAACGCAAATAATGGCTAGGATACGTCACCACATTGAGAAACTGTTTGGAAAGAGACATGTTTTCTGACTGCTCTGTAAATGGTCCCAAGACTTGCATAAAAGCACTAGCAAGCATGACTAAACAAACCCTTTACTGGCAAAGGCAAACAAGATAAGGATTTTCTGTTCTGCTGCCATTGAGTCTTCAAAGCAGCTGTAGTCTTGACAAACCAAGTTTTGCTTAACCTCCTATTACAGATAAAATAAATATACCTAGAAGGAGAATAGATAAAGTTACTATATTTTAACTATAGGAGGAAAAACAAAGTAAGAAAAAAATACATCACATACAACTCAAAAGGGTTTGTATTTTTCAGAGTCTATGGTCTGGCAGCTTCTTTCAGGGCTTATAACTACTGCAAGGAAACAACTGATTTATCTTAGAAAGGTAAGAGAGTGTAAGAAGCAAATGGATAATAATTTATAGTGAATTCAGGCCTTTGGCATTCACATCAGTGAACTACCAAGTAATACACACCTCTGAAACCATGCCAGCCTGCATTGTAGTTTCTTATCTAGCTGAAATGGAGCACTGTCATTGTGTTTTTTCTAATGGAAAAAAATACCTTTCCATACCTAGATGGCACTTCTTAAATTGATCAGGCAGCAAATGTAACAATGCACTGAATGGGCTGAAAAGGGATTTGGCAGATACATAAAAGGGAGGCCCAGTGTGGGTCATTAAAGATGATTATTGGGAGACAGATCCCAAGATGCTGACTGTCAGAGAAGGGTCACCTTGCCTAGTAACCAAATTCCTTACATCTTTTCCTAAAATATTCTCCAGTGGTCAACAAAAGAGTCACGACACTGAGCTAGTTAAAGTCAGTCTCATGTGCTTCAGCAGTTTTGCTGCTGCCTTATGTGCTGTTTCTCTTGCAGTTCATGAAGATAATTTTGAAATGCTGTATTTCAGTTCAGGGCCTGCCTCTCCCTCTGCTCCTGAAATATTTTCTGGTTTTGTTCCTGTTGGGATTTCTGTATGTTGCCCGATGAGGACTGGTTATAACATAGAACCACACATTTATACAGGACAAAAATTCCTGCAAGCTGGCATTCAACATATGCTTGATAGTAAAGCAGAAGAGAGATGGTTTTGACATACATATGAGGCCAATGAAAAGAAATTACAGAACTCACAGTTTAGTTTATCAACAATTGAATTAGATTTTAGCAAGGAGGAAAAGATCCTTTTTTAAATATGTCATAAAACCATGGAAATACTTGAGCTGGAACTTGCAATTTCTAGTTAGTATTTCAGCAGGTCCATCTCCTAGATTACAGGGAAATTATAGAAGTGTTCCACCCTTCTGTTTTGCTGCCCTAAAACCAGGTTTGACAGTGAAAATATCTTCAGTAGGAGATCAATCCACATCACTTCATGACTGTGACTTTTTCCCACAGGATCCATCTCAAGTAACCAATTCCTACAAAGGGTTTTTCCAGGACCTCTTGAGGAAAAAAGAAAAGCCTCTTTTTTCTTATTTATCTGTTAAAAAAAAAAAGATAATCCCCTACCACCTCCATATTTACACTTTTACCGTTTCAGAGTAAACTTTGTTTGTTTATGAGTCAGAAGTTAATAAGTATCCTGCTTTTTTATATACTCATAAACTTCCTCAAGACCTCTGCATGGAAAAGCTGACAATCTGCTGGTCCAGGGTTGAACTGGGAAGGGAATTAAGCAAGTTGGAACTCTTTCTCAAAAATCCACTGCATTAGGGAGGTGCAAATAAATAATTGCAATCTTACCTCTGCTATTAAATACAGAGAAAGTTTTTGATATTTTGATTTTTCACATTATCTTCTTTTAACGGAGACAAGGTAGTCAGAGAGGAACAAAATTGGTGCTTTTAGTTCAAGACACACAGGGTGCAAGTTTTAGCATAGTACCTGAATTTTTCCCTGCACCTTGATCCCAGGTCAAATGTGGATGACTGATTAAACTCTTGTTTGATGCCTCAGTCTTGAATTTGGAGTAAAATTGTGTTGCTATGCAGCAAAAGTGCTTAGTATAAGGCAAAGAGGCTCTCAGCACCAGATACTTCATGGCTCTGCTCCATGTTTCCAGATGTGAAATCCCTTCAGCTGGGTCCAAAAGGAATGGGGAAATGGAAGAAAAAGAGAAATTTCCTTTATCTTCTTTGTCATTCTTCAGGGGAACAGCTTATCTTGGGATATCCTAACAACCATTATTCTTCTGAAAGAACAGAAAAAGAGAGTAAAACCTCCTCTTTCCCTCTCTGTGAGCCTGCTGCAGTTTTCTTTTCTCCCTCATGCCCAAAGAACATAGAAATATTAATCCTGAAAGTAACATATCTTCCACTCTTTTTCCTACACACTTTTCCATTTTTCACTGTTTTGGGGCTTAAGATTAATACTAGTACCAGAATTTTCTTGAGTCTGTGACATATAAGTTTGAAAAATGTGATGTCATGCTGAATTTCACGAATATTTCAAGCATAGCTGACTTGAATCCCTCCCTACACGTTAGGGTTTTTTCAGTACCTTTGTGAAGTGGCAACAGTGACTTGGGCACCTTGACTCAAATCTCACCTGCTCTACCATTGTGTTGTCATCTTTCATATATTTTCCTCATCATAGTGACCCAAAATTCTCTGTGATATGTGACAGCTGACAGGAAGGAAGCACGTGCTGAGAAATAATGTGCATGAATGGAACCATAATCTCTTGGTCATACACCTCTGTCTCACTTATTTAGTGCTAATCCTCTCTTTTTCTGAGTCACTTCTTGCATTTTTCCTACACTTCCAGTTCCCATTGCTATGTGGGCTTAAGGCCTTCTGCTTTTCTCCATGAATACTCTGCCATTCTTATTTCCCTTATATTTTTCACTTGTCAGTCCTTTCTGCAGGGGTCCTTGTGCAGAAGATTGATACTCTCATTTCAGTTAATTACCACACACAAATGCATACTTGTCCACAGTGCTGCCTCTGATTCATAGCCAAAGCACTTCATACTTCTCCACAGCCTGTCCCCTGCATTACCTCCACTAATCTTTGTTCCCCCAAACTTTTCTTCATCATTGCTATTCTGTTTCTTTCTCCTCATCTCAGACATTTTCTGGAGGTAGCTCCATGATAGGAACAAAGTGCTTTCATTTCACCCTACCTATTTCTTAGTAAGATGAGTAGCAGTTGTCCCTGACTGAACAACTCCTATTCTTGAAGGTGGATGAGCCACTGATCGCTCTGCTTCCTGAGGACCTCAGGCCAAGCTCATCCCTGAGATGCAGGAGAGTCAGTCAGGGCTTTGCTTATGGAATCTAAAGCTCCAGATGTGTTTTAGGCAGCTGTAAGGAAGTTATTCCTGCTGGAGACTGGAAGCAGGTTAGCTAGACAGTGCATTTGCTGTTGATGTCAGAGCTCTGCTAGCTTTACATAATTTCAGAGCTCTCCTCTCCTGAGGAGATTCTCCATGTGGGTCTTACAATCAACTGGCAGCTTTACCTCCTAAATAAACAGGTAATAATCTCCTATAATCTCCCCTTATAATTATTCTATCTGTGTTCTTTACCCAAATCTGAAATAATTAGGCTATGCTGATAAAAATACTTTATGCTGCACGTGAGGAAATACCATGTCCTACTTCTCCTTCACTGAAGATGTTTACCCCACTTCCTCAGACCTCTCCTGCTTTGACCATTTTCCTTTGCATCTAGTCCTGAGATATAGTATCCACTTCTTATTTCTTACTTCTGATTTTCTGCCAGAATTGTTTTAATTGATCCTACTGTGCCATGGTAAGTTTTTCTTCAGCTACAGCTCGTGAGCTATGAATCCTTTTTTGCCAAGTGCAGAGCTCATACTTTCACTTGATTTACTGGCAGTAAAATATTGTCTGATCAGACGTCTTAGCACAATGCTATTCTCATCTAAGGGTGATATTTTTACCTTTCAAAGGAAAACAGAGCTTCATTTGAAGATAAAAAGGCAGAGAGCTGAAGAATGTAAACAGAGTCTAGATTCTCTTATCACAGTCAAAGAAGAAAAAAATACCCCAAACTATTTTAAACAGAGGCCCTATATAAGGAAGTCTGCAAAACCACTTCCCATTTCATAGGACAGGATACACCAAAGAAATGATACAACTTGGCACAAATAACTAAGATAATTTCAACTTTATTTAAATACTACAAGGACGTTTAAAGACATCTCAGGACATAAATCCCATTTTGATTACATTCTTCAACTTTGCTTTAATGTTCATCTTTTTTTCTGAGTCAAAACTTGCGGTTTGTAAAAATTATAAGCATCCTGTAAGCAGGTCTGGAAATTAAAACCTTAGATTTCTTCCCCCTACAAGCCTGGAGAAGGAAGCCAGCATGTAATCTTCTTCCCTTTGCTTTACTGGAATACTTCTATTGCTCATGGCTGACCTGGAAGATGAGAGGTAATTTGAACTCTAATTGTCTCAAAAAGAGCCAAGTAAAGAAAACAAAACTATATTAAAACAAACAGTCTGCAGTCACTGAATCTATCCTCTGTCAGACTTATCACCCTGGGGACACTGATGGATGGGTCAGAATTCAAGCATTGTAGGCAGGGATTGCTGATGAGACCAGCCCATGCTGGCTGCTGAACAGATGGGCAGCCTCCAGCCTCCACATATCCTCAGCTGGTGGAAATCAGCACTTCTCTGCAGGGGTCAATCAAGAAATATCAATATACAGCCAGGAGTCCAGCCTATACGATTTTCAATTTGGATTAAGCTCGGGATTCACAAGTGAACCCAAGAACAAGGCATGAGAGGTCCCTCGGGATTTTGCCATTTGTAAGTGCCATTAAAAACCACACAGGCGTCAAGTAAACCTGCAGCAAAGCAAAGCCTCATGTCCTGCCTACACGCAAGGCTCACAAGAGAAAAGACAATTTCAGAGAGCTGTACATATTTGATTAGGAGTACAAACCTACAGTCATCTTGCTCTTCAAACACATACACTAGACAGATGAGTAATGATATTAAAAGCCAATAGTTTGTGTCCCACAGGGAATTTTTTATTGTTGGGAGAAAAAAACCCATATGCTTTCCATTAAGGAATAGTTCTTCAATGTGCCACAAAGAAGTGTGCTTGGTTGAGTTCATCCTTCTATACTGGTTTCAATTCTACTCCTACAATGAAACTCTTTAAAAATCATTGTGTTAAGAGAATGAGGGGAAGCTGTAACAGAAAACTCAAGGCAAAAAGAATGTATATACAAATCACAGGTTCTGCATAAATCTTATGCTGCCAGTCCACACAGTGGGGAGAAGGATTCAAGTCAAGGGAAAAACTCAGTTAGGCCTACAGCATACCTGATATATTTTGTTTAAATAAACCAAGCTGCCTCTTCATTTTTCTTCAATGCCAAAACACAAACTGAACATAAAGCAGATAATCAATCTTCCACGTTCTAGAAGATGACAGTAGAAGTTTTGCCAAGCTTTGCCAGCTTCTGAAAGTCAGAGTGGATGGAATCTATCTGGAGGGTCTTCACACTTCAGACAGAATGCTGATCAAGAAAATTATAGAAGTCAACAGTTGAACATTTTAAAGTATATATGTGTATATATAGAAATAGACTTTTTAATATAGATATATAGAATACAGATATAATAAATCTACCAAATATTCCAAAATATTCCAGAATAATCCACAGAAATATTTGTAAGGCTCAGACACACAAGGAAGCCTTCACTCATTTACCCCTGTTCTATGGTGTCATTGGACTTTAAAATGGTCCAATGACTTCCTCCAGGTGTGCATGGCAATATCTGCAGGGCACAATGTGCACCACAGCTCATGCTGTGCAGATTCTGGTCACATTTTCAAAAGTATCTAACACATGATTTGGAGTTAAGAATCCAGATTATCTAGGTAAATCACCTGTTTTAAGGTGGGAGATTCTTCAGGCTGTGCTCAAGGACACAAAGGAGGAAAAGCTGCTTGAAAAAGATCTTCTCCAACATTGTGTGTGAGCTTGGCCACAATCTGCTTCCAAATTATCTGAAGAGAGAAAAATATATTTGCCAGAGAAATATTTTCAGGACGTAGCTCTACAATAGAAACTAGAAAGGTCATCATAGGGCATCATCTGGTGTTTGTTCCTGTGCCTTTCACTAGCAAGCTTTAAAAAAAAAAAGTTGGCTTCATATAGGTAATAACTCTGCCAATTAAAAAAAGAAAACTGAGAAGAGCCCTGTACACTGCCACCTTATATAATGTGAGGGAACTGTTGTAGAGACCTTATTGCAGTTCACTGATAGCATCTTTGCTCCTGGTGAAGACAGACAGATAGTAGAAACAACTGCCAAAAAAAAGTCCTGTCTCTCCAGGCAAGGACACAACCCTAACTGGGACAATGGAGGCAGGCTGGAGTGTCTGAAAAGTGAAAGGAGCAGAGCAGTAATCAAAACAAGTTTGTTTTGCTGTCAGCATGGGTGTGTCCTCATTTTGACTGAGGAAGTAACTTGGTTTAACATCCCAATCAGCTGAAAAACCTCAGCTGTACCGTGAGTGAAGTTCAGTTTTTCACATCCCGTTGCTCTTCTCTCACTCACTGCATTTTCATAGTTGACCAGCAGTGTCACTTCAGTGCTGTTCAGACTGGCTCATTTGATGACCAAGGCCACCTTCCCTGTGAAGTAACTGGTACAAAAAAGCTGTTTCTGCACGTGTGCCAACTGTGCCTGCATGTTGCCTTCCCATTACTCCTCAAACACCAAATGTGGACAAACATGAAGTACATGCTCTCTGGGAATTTTGATGGACAAAAGAGCCTTTTAAAGCAAGCCAGGAAAAAGTTAAGTGGATAAGAAAATAAAAGGCTACAGAGTCCTCTGTCCTTGTTGCCAGAACTTTTATATCCAGTCCAAGCAACACTGCACGGGGGGCACCGGCACTCCCGCAGATGCTATGCTGACTTTCTTCAAGTACTTCTCAACTCATAGACATCAACTTTGCTTCTTCTTCTTTGCATCTGTCAAAAGAAGTTCAGCTCCGGATATACAAATCTTGATGGAGCTCATGATAAGTGATGATTCATGAGAGTCTGTCTGGAATATTAGGAAGGCTGAAGTACAGTGGTTTTTTCCCCAGTTATTTCTTCTCAAGGATTTTTGGAAAAAATATCAGCAAGTAAAAGGAAGTGAGAAAATATCATCATGTAGCGCTGGTGTGAAGCTTGGCTGTGTCAGTCTCAACTCAAAAACAGGAGGGGCAGATTGGAGAAAGATGTTACTAATGTAAAGAAAAGATGAGAAATCACTCATGTGGAATTGATAAAGCCAACTCTTGAAAAATGAATTTGCCATGTGGGACCCTGTAGAGCCCAGCCATTTAATTTCTTGAAAATGTGAATTGAACTGTCCAAGGGAAACTTCTGGGAACTGTGATTGTGGGACCCTTGACAGTTTTGTGACCAGTCAAAAAAAAAAAAAAAAAATCTTTGTTTTCTTGGGGCAATGGAATGTGTGTGGGGAATGTATTCAGCAGTTGTAGTTTTCATCAGCGTCTCCTCATCTTTCAACTATCAACAGCTGCTATAAGGGAGGTGGCATATTATGAAGTTGCACCTAGGGCTGCTAAACTTTTATTTCCCTCTACTTTCCTAGAAGGAAAATCAGTCACTGGGGTGTGGTGCCTTTGGATGTCCATTGCTGAACAGGGGATACAGAAAGGGCTGCACCTGAAAATAGGAATGCATCATGCAACAGCTGTACGTGCAACACCAAGGGCAGTACCCAAGCCAGAAACCCAACACATTTCAAGTACCTGACACACAGACACCTGACACCTGAGGCTTTGCTCACTTCTAGATGCTTTTTTTAGGCAACAACCAAGGCACTGCAGGTGGCAGAAATAAGAGCAGTAACAGGTTAATCAGAGCTAGCTGGTTAAAAATACAACCACCTATTTTGCACAGGTGTTCTGTCTTAAAACAGGATGTGGGGTAAGTTGCAAACATCATCATAAAAGGCTTATTTTTTGGGTGGAGCTAAGAATATTGACACTTAGTGACTTGTCTATTAAACCTGTGTGGTTTCCTTAGGACTGCTTTTCTGTGACTTCTGAGAAGAGTGTACAGGTCATAGGATAGTTTTGTTTGTGAACATAGGATTGTCCCCTGTTTAAACTGCACAGATAATGATCAGGGGCTAAACCACATCAAGGCAGAGTCCTTCTCCCACTGCTGTTTCCAGAACTGAGTAGCTTATTTTTCTTGACAGTGGTGCTGATCTGAAGGTTGGATATATTTCCAAATCCAGGCGCCTTATCTCTCTCATTTAGGGTTTCAAAACTTCAGTTTCCTACTTTTTCACTGTGAATTGTATATTAAACATAATCTTCCTCCTCCTCCCCACAATTCAGGCACTGCAAAATCTCTAACAAGATTGCAGTAGTAATGTAAATGAAAATCCATGATGATCTTTCTATTCACAGGATCATCCACTGCTTCCAGGAAGGAGCAGTCTCTGAATGACAAAGTTTATTATTTTAGTTTACTAGTGGTTGTGGTTTAAAATTATTTGACTGTTGTGCAGAAATCACTACCATAAAAACACAAGCCACTGAGCTTTTGATACTCTACAGCAGGGAATGAAGCCAAACATACCAGCCTTGAGCTGTGTACTTTTCTGCCCTTAATCTGAGCTCAGCAGAGCAATGACATCCCTTCTAGAACATCTGAGCCATTGTGTCTCTGACCTGAAAGGAATACTTAATAGCAACTTTTATAGTGCTTTTTTTGAGAATGAAGAGAGAAGTGACTAAAAGAGCTTTGAAAGTTCATCCTTTGGCCCTTCATGCCACCCACCTCCTTTTATATAATCTCTAGAAGATATAATAAACATATCTGATACCTGAAATATTTATCAGATGGTATCATGTGATATTTTTCCCATTCATGTTGGCTCATCTCCATTTCTTCACATGCAGAGATATAGGAGATACCTGCTAAAGATTGTGTTGTTCTTTCTTATCTTGCCCACATTTTACTCTAATCCTTAGGATGAATAGGACATATAGCAAAATATGTATTTTTGGTAGCTGTGAATCTCTGGGATTCTCAGGTCTCAATATTTTGTAGTTTTGAAGAGCTGGATAACAATGTTGATTGCTTAAGAAGCAACTTTCTGCCCACAGAAAGGGTGTGGTGCTCAGCAGCTCCAGGGCCATCGATGCAGAAAAAATGCTTGTCTCATTTTCGATCGTCACAGCCCTGTAATAATATTCACACATAAAACCAGGAGTTTGTAAACTACTTTACAAACAACCTGGTGTTTGTTACAGCTAAGTGGATGCCAGGGAATTGTTTCTTTTGTTGTTTGGCCTCAAGGTAAATAGTATTGCTAATGGCAATGCTATGAAAATTCAATACATTGACAGAACAATTTTCCCTGTGAAGTACTTTATGACTTAGAAATTTGGCTGTGGAGAGTCTGATATGTCATTACCTACATTTCTACAAGGAGTGTGGGATGTGGCTGGTCTGAAGTGAAAAGTTGCTATTGACACCTAATGAGATTGCAGAGCAGCAAGTTTCACAAGTTGCCCAGAGACTTTTTCAGACAGCAGAAATGCCAGACTTCCTTCCAAACAGTGTTGAGGTACTATTGGTGACCATAGCTGTGAAGGCCTCAGGCTCCTGTTTCACAGAAGACATGACACCTCCAAACCAGCCCCTCTCTCTGTCCAGATGAGGCCCTGGGTCTGAGGAAGGAGGAGCTGTGCTTTACTGCTGACATTGCTCCCAGCGACACTTGCATCCCCTCCACTCCCTGCTGTCACCCAGCAGTGACCTCTGTCTTCTGAGTTCAAATGTAGTGCAGTGTCTCGCAGCAGGACTCCAATTCAGGGAAGGGAGTGTGTGATTTTAGGAAAATTTGCATGAGAAACAGTTAAAGACTGACTCACAACTCACAGAAATTGTCTTGAAATATTGTAAGGAGTGTCGTCTATCTCAACCTCAGCCAGGTTTTTGACACTGTCTCACATAACATCCTTGTAGATAAGCTCAGGAAATGAGGGTTAGATGAAGGGACAGTGAGGTGGATGCAGACCTGGCTGAATGTCAGAGCTCAGAGAGTCGTGATCAGAAGAGTGGGATCCAGCTGGTGGCCAGTGGCGTTCTCCAGGGATCTATACTGGGCCCTGCACCCAGGGAGGGATAACCCCAAGTATCAGTGCGGGCTGGGGGCTGACTCCCTAGAGAGCAGCTCTGCAAAGAATGACATGGGAGCCTTGGTGGGTGACAAAGCTGCCAGCCAGCACTGTGCCCTTGCAGCGAGGAGGGCCAATGGTGTCCTGGGGTGCATCGGGAAGAGAGGGACCAGCAGGTCAAGGAAGGAGATCCTGCCCCTCTATTCAGCCCTAGTGAGGTCACATCTGGAATGCTGTATCCAGCTGTGGGCCCCTCACAGTACAAGAAAGACAAGGAGCTACTGGAGAGGGTTCAGTGAAGGCCACAAAGATGATTAAGGAAATTGACCTTCTTTCTTACAAGAAAAGACTGCAGGACCTGAAACTGTTTAGTCTGAAGACTGAGAGGAGATCTCATTAATGCATGTAAATGTCTCAAATGCAGGTGCCAAGAGAGTGGTGGCATCTTTTTTAGTGGTACCCACAGGCAGGATGAGGAGAAATAACCATAAACTAAAACACAAGAAGATCCATCCCAATATGAGAAAAAGCTTCTTAATGTTGAGGATAACAGAGTCCTGGAACAGGCTGCTCACAGAGGTCATGGAGTCTCCCTCTCTGGATACTTTCAAATTCCATCTGGATGCATTCCTATGTAACCTGCTCTAGGTGACCCTGCCTGGGCAGAGGGGTTGCATTGGGTGATTCCCAGAGGTCCCGTCCAACCCCAGTAATTCTGTGATTCAGTAAAATCGATTGAGATCTCTGTGGGACTGGACTGAGCCATAAGCAAGGAGATGTCCTCCATACTGTAGACTTTTCTTGATTTGTATTGGCTGTAAATCATTAGGTTTTGAATGGCAATGCCTCTCAACACTTGACTATTTACACAGCTCTTGTATCAACAAATATTTTCCCCAAAGTGTTGCAGTAATTAACATATAAATAAAACATGTCTTTTCAAAGCTGGTGACATATGTTAGCAAGTGTTTGCCAACACAAAGCTCAGCATGGCAAATACTGAGCTATTCCATTTCTTCATCTTTTCAGGCAGACTGTTGCTAAGACAGGTCATTAGCAAGTTGTAGAACCTCCAGTTGTGATCCATATGGCAGGAGCTAACAGCTATCAGCCACTTGCATCCCACCAGCCTAACCAGTGCATAGGCAAGGATTTTCAGGAATGCAGGTTACAAGGTACAATAAAGCAATACAGCGATGCATCCACAGCTGGCGTAATTTGACATGGCTAAAATCATAGAATCACCATGGGCTGGGAAAGACCCTTGATGTCATCAAGTCAAACCATTAAACCAGCACTAAACCATGTCCCCAAGTGTCACATCTACACATCTTTTAAACACCTGCAGGGAAGGTGTCTCCACCACGTCCCTGGGCAGCCTGTTCCAATTCTTGAAAACCCTTTCCATGAAGAAATTTTCCCTGATATAAACCTCCCCTGGTGCAACTTGAGGCCATTTCCTTT